TTTTATTTATTATATGTGCAAACTATATCTTTTGTTGTCATAAGTAAAATTCATTCTTTTTTGTAAGTGAAACTTGTCATTGCTTTCCTTTCCAACATCACCTCCTTGATCCTGAACCAAAAAGCCCAGTGGCTAATAAAGTTGCAGTGCTCAGTCAGTCTGCAACTAAATTGATATACTCACAGTGCCCAGCTGGCCTGTGACAAATCACACACCTGTTTATAAATAATTAACAAAATAACTCTTGACATTCCATGAGAGGATGACTGAGAGCAAAGAACAGGATTTGCTTAGGCAAACAAAATGTGCAGATGAAAGTAAATTGTTACAATTGTTTTGAACAAATCCTATTTGTACGCACAAGTACATAGGCAAAAAAGGTTCCTTGCGTGGATCTGATAAAAGATACCAGATTCATCCAAAGAACCTTGTCTGTCTGCCTATGTCCTTAGACCAACATGGCTGCAACCTACACCCCTGCGACAAGTACAGTTACATTCACATGCTTTAAATAAGTGGCTCTCAAGCTTTTTTGTACCAGTGACCTATTTGTAAGCATCAGTGGCTAATCTCGACTCAGTGCCCCTCATTCCCAACCTGCTGCCCCCAGGCCCCAGCCCCCCAATGTGTGGGGCAGGGAATGGGTATGAGGGCATGGGGGGCCCAAGCAGCCCCTTGCAGGCTGGAACTCTGCCAGCCTGCAAGGGAAAAGCCATGGTTTCCTATGCTTTTCTCTTTTAAAGGAGAATCTGTTTTAAAGTTTGTTTGCAACCCTTTCGTATATTCTTGCGATCCACTTTTGGGACATAGCCATGGGTTGAGAAACTCTGCAAATCTTGTGCGTGCTTCACCCTTTCCAGCTTTGGCCCTTTTTCTCTAGCTGAGACTCTCAACACTGATCCAGTCTCTCAGACCTCATTGCCTTGGTTTCAGCCCCTTGTGTTCCTGCACAGAGCAGGTCTCAAAACACAGTGTGTCCTAGTCACCCTGCTGCATAGCCTCTAAACCACCCCCAGAGCCACAACTCAGTCCTATGGTCTGTGCGTAAGGTCCAAGGGAGAAAACAACTAAATAAACCAGTCAGTTGCAACAAAAGCATAAACCCCACCTTGGGTTTCTTCACAGCTGCCGCACTCCTACCCTAAGGCAGACTTGTTCTCTTAACTTCCATGGTATCCGCATTGTTTTCTCACAGCCAGCTCTGTCCACAGCTCCTCTCCGCATAGTTTTGCAGGCATGGACTAGCTGCCTAAGGCCAGAGGCTGGGCGGATATACACCTAAGCTCTGCCCTCTTCTGGTCACCTGATCCAGCTCTGCCTATGGGGCCCAGGTACTACTGACTCCCAAATCAGCAACCCCACATCTGCCATCTGCAGTCTGGGTCCTGCATTGCAATGTAGCCAGGGTACTTCCACCTGTTGCGCCTCGCAGCCATGTTTTCTACAAATTGCACTGGCTTTGCTCTACCCATGTTGCTCTGAACTCTTCTTTCCAGTAAGAGGAGCAGGGGGGGCCTGTTATACACAGCATAGTCAGATGACAACCTGCTCTCTACAGTAAGTGAACAAAGGCAGAATCCAATAACCTTTGCATTGTTTGAGGTAGAATATCCTGTATTATAATTGGTGAAAACTGGAAAATTAATCTGCTAAACCAGCTGTGTTGGTGTTCATAATAGTAAATAGCGTAGGTAATTTAAAACCAGGTTTTTAAAATGTCTACCTTTTACTCAAGGAATACTTACAGCACAGGGACATTATTGAGATGGCATGGAGCTTGTTCTCAGACCTGATATAAGGTCGCATGCAGATAACAAAGATATTTCCAAAACAAGTGACTGCAGACACAACCCAGACGAACACCCTCTGTATAATGCTTGCTAAAAGATTTTCAAAGGATGAAATTCCATCGGTATTTGGTTTACAGCTGCGCACATGAGGGGCATATCCACAGTACTGGAATTTCTTAAAATATCTGGGTGAGGAAGAAAAGAGGGTGAAAAGAGGCTGCTTTGTTTGTGGATCTGTTTTTCACAAAAATACCTGAATATGGTATCTATTTAGGAAAAAAAGCAAAACAAAGTAAAATATGTTATTATGGTTATGGAACCAGTGGTAAAGAGTTTGTTTTTTTTTACCATACACAAAAGAAACTTCAAGTCTTTGTATAAAATTTGTCAGAGTTAAGAATTAACTGAATAATGTTGTATGGTAGTTTGACACTAAAAAAATGCCATATATGGAATTCCAGTAGCAACAATACCTTTAAAAAATTATTTTGACTACAAGCTATGCAATTAAAACAGATTATAACAGTGTAATCCAACAATCACTTGTCCCCCATAAGCAAGGGGTTAACTGCCTTTGGCTCTAGTTCCCCTTTCCCTAGTTCATTCACTTAGGTGAAGGCCTATAAAACATTTGCTGGAGAATGAGAGGGAGGAGTTCATTTATAGGAAAGCAGGGATCTAGCATCTGAGTTGGGTATTTGCTCTCTGTTTGCTTAACATATGACTGTTGGTTTTTATTGTTATTGCTGATAAAGATCAGTGCCTGTTTACCATCTGAAAGAGACTTAGTATGCTGAAAGCATGATATAAATCTATTAATAATTGTTTCCATCTTAATTATGCTAACAAACAAACTGATGCTCTCAGTATTACTTTAGATCAGTGATTCTCAGCTGGGGTTGCATGGTACTCTTGAGTGCCTTGAACTCTTTCAAGGTCACCCACAGAGTGCCATGCAAATGCTAACACTCTTAGGTGTGCAAACATGATTCACAAGACAAACCCAGAAATTTCAAACATGATTTCATAATGTTAAATCATTCTGACCCCTTGTGGTCTTTCTGAGTTTTTTGTAACAGAAGAGTTGCTCTATTATTTTTCTATAGTCAAAAAACAAGTGAAAACTAAAAGTCGGCATTTGAGTCTAAAATGGTTGAGAACTATGTATTTCTCTTTTTTTCTTAGTAATGCACTCAACTTAATTGACTTCCTTAATTAGTTTTACTCACATGCCAGTCCCCATACATTTTTCTTCTTAACTGTTCTGTACTTTGTCAGGTTTAAAACTCAAACACAAAGAGGCAAACTGGAATAGTCTACTTACATGTGGGAGAGATTTCTAAGGGGCTTGAAAATTCTTCTTTGGATATTTGTGATTTCAATGCCTTCCAAGCTGCTGTAAACAACATATTCAAAATTAAAAAGGCAACATAAAGTCACTAGTAAAAAAATAATAAAGCTTATTGAAGGTATAAACATATGCCTATGATTACATGAAACTTCTGATAATCCAGATTTGTATCTACCTTGTTCATACCTTTGAAACTTCTTCAAAAAGAAAAGTGGAAGTGAAATGAGATAAAACACAGTTAATTCTAATAGACTTAACTTTTTTGACATCATGAGGGAGCTTCTTAATGGTGTCATTACTCAGCACTATTTGTAATTATTTTATTGCCATTCCAAAGACCTGTTCTAATGACATTCTTCATTATTCCCAGTAAATATAATAGCATGTTCCCAGAATGATATTTTCTAAGTGTAAGTGTATCCTTCATTCAAGAGGATGTTAAGTACTTCACTATCGTGGCAGAGTATAACCAGAATTCCCCCATCATGGGGTGGTGCATTGCTGACAAGAAGCATCTAGCAAATTGACCAAGAATGGTGAAATGCTGGCTATTCTTGCAAACCTTCTGGGGCATTTCTTGTTTGTATGGGTGTATCTGTACTGGTTATTGTTTTGATTGTCTTCCAACTGTTTTGCACCTAGCCAGGATGAATTGGTATCTTTACTTGTCCCTCATCTTTATGTAAGGTCTTGCACTTTACTTGCTCTGGGAACAGGATGACAAGCTGTCACTGTTTAAATCCTGGCATGGAGCCATGGTCAGTCTGCAGTTGTATGTGAGGGTATAGCTAGCATTACTACACTATGTCCTTATATACACATCTTTTTGTGTATTTTTCTTGGATCTTCTTTTCCTTTAGGAATAGATGAAGATTCTTTCAGTCAGAGTGGAGCTAAACTGCTGAATGGACAATAAGCTGTTGAATCTCAGCTGAATCTGAGTCAGAACCAAAAGCATCCTGACCTCAATCATTGAGCTCCAGTACACTGATGCTCTAGTGTGTGCTCATGCAAAAGCAGATCTTTAGGCAATTGCCGACGTATTCACCGAGGCATACAAGAAAATGGGACTAACACTTAACATTCAAAAGACTAAGGTCCTTGAACAACAAGCTCTTAATAAGCAGTCCCCAGCTCTGGTAATTCAGATTTACAATGAGACTGGAGAACACTGAGTATACCTTGGAAGCCATCTCTTACAGAAGGCTAACATCAATCCAATATTGCTTCAGATATGCAAATGCAGCCTTCAGATGCCTGAGAAAACAGGTGTTTGAAGATTGTGACATCATATTTGAAACCAAGTTCATGGTTTATCAGGTAGTCATCCCCACTTTACTGTAAGGAGCCGAGATGTGGACAGCATACAGGAGACAACTTAAGTTGCTGGAGAAGTACCATCAACACTGCCTGCAGAAGATCCTTCAAAGCCAGTGGGAAGACAGATGCACCAACATTGGCATCTTCTTGGAAAAAAACACCACGAGCATCAAGTTAATAATCATCCAACCTCAACTTAGCTGGGCTGGCCACATCATTTTGATGTATGACTCCAGACTCCCAAAGCAAGTTTTATTCTCCCAGCTTAGCCAAGGCATATGCTTAAGAGGAAGGCAGAGAAAGAGCTTCAAGGACATCCTCAAGGCCAACTTAAAAAAAACATAACAGTATGGCATCAATTCATGGGAGACTATTGTCCATAACTGCCCCAAGTGTAGGAAGAGTTTGCTGCAAGGATCTCGATATTTTGAAACCTCATGATGACAACTGGAGATGGAAAAGTGGGAGTGGCAGAAACAGCGTGCTGTGGACTGAATCAAGAAACCAGAGCCACCCACCCTGCACAGAAACGCATGTGTAAGTTGTAATAGAACCTGTCGATCTTGGATTGGCTTTGTTAGTCATCTTTGGACCCACAGCTAAGGCAATCAAAGAAGACAGTCATCCTCAACTGTCAGGCATTGCCAATGATGATGAGATGAAGAGTTAGGAAACCCTTGATATAAAACATTGCAACAGATGATGTTTTGAGGCCATTGCTGAATAGGGTGACAATTGGAATTTCATGTAAACCAAACCAAACACAAGGCCCCTATAATCCTCTTGCAAGAAACAAAGAACAAAAACCAAGTCTCTGGCAGTAGGCACTTGTCCCAATTATGTGAAGCTAGAGAGGATTTTGTCATAAGATGCTACCACACTGCTGCAGAGATAACTGATGATGGCAGTGAATCCAGGGATGATATTCATTGTGATGAGAGAGCTGGTAGAAAGCTGTGGCCTCTTTGCTATACAAGAGACTGCCTAGACACTAGAGATCAGAGAACATCCTGGCATGGGAACTAGATATTCCTGTTATCAGACAGTCTGTCAACTTTGTGCTTAACCTAGCATTTTATAAGAGACCTTAGAGCTGGTAGGTATTTACAGTATTTACTCAAATCTAACATAAGGGTTCCCTCCACAATCAGCATGGGGGGAAAAAAGCCCCCTCCCCCACATCTTAGATTTGCCTACAAAGTGGAGGGGGAAGCATGTGGCTCCTACAGCTCTAACTTTGGCCCTGAGTCTGGGGTGGGGCCAGACTTACATCCACAACAGTCCTCTGCCCTTCCCCACTTGTCCTCTGCAGCTTCTGCCCCCTACTGCTCCCTTCCCTTCTCTTACTGTCAGGTGCAGTTCGGGTCAGGCTGGATTACCTCCACAGGGCACATGGAAGCTCTGTCCCTTGCCTGGCCAATCAGCAGCACCAACACTGCTGCATGGCCCCTGTCTAGCCAGTCAGCAGTGCTGACACTGCTGCTTGGCTGGCAGGGGCTGCACTTCCATGTGCTGTGTTCTGGGAGGGAACAGAGCCCAAGAAGCATCTGACAATAAAGGCAGGGTTGGGGGAGGAAGAGGTAGAGACTGGGGAGCGGGGGAAGGGGAAGAGGCTGTGGGGAGCTGGTACTGGGGGGGGGCTGGTAGTGGCAGGGGCAGGAAGGCTGCAAGGGAAGGAAGGGGGGGCAGAGGGCAAGGGGGCCACCTGACTTCCCCTCACCCCCCGCAGCCACTGCTTTCCCTGCTGTAGTAGTGAGAGGGGGACAAATTCAAGACAACCCTCTGATAATTAGTTTCTATATCTGGAAGATTATTAAAAAATTATAGATTTTCCATACAGGCAGTCCTTGACTTCCAAAATTTCAACTTACAATGTTTTGCACTTAAAACATTTATAAATTGATACCCTGTTTCAACTTTCTGACGTCAGTTTCAACTTTACAATGCTTGATCTGACGTGACGCCACCTCAGTGAACAAGTTTGCTGTGTCACCCATCTCCCTGGAGAACATCTGTCCAAGCTTCCTTGGATGCTTTCTTTAAGAAAGCAGACGAGACTCCAGCAAAACCTGCAGCCAAGACTCATGAGAAGAGTCCAGCCAAGAACCCATCAAAAAGTCCAACCAAGAGCCCTTCAAAAAGTCCAGCAAGGTCACCTCAAAGAAGTTCTTCCAAATCAATATGATTGCTATTTACAATATAAATACATTAATGTAGCTATATTACTCACCTATAATTGATTGAGTACAAAATTCTGGGGTATTTTTGGTGAAAATAGGGTATTGCGCCTCAGTTCAGGAACCAATCTCCCATTTATAACATTGTTTCCTATGGGAAAATTGGTTCCGAGTTACGACGTTTTGACTTAAGACATTGTTTTCAGGAACCAGTTGTGTTGTAAGTCTGAAGACTGCCTGTATATAAAATCTAATCATTGCGGGGGTCATCTTGAATTCAGGGTCAACTTTGATTCCTGTAAATATGTATCTTTTGATTCATTGCTTTCAACTTTCTGTCATTACTTTTCATGATAGACACCTAGTATTTGTTTTTGTTTTTTCTGGATACATAGTAAGCATCACACTGAGGTAGAGAGCTAGAAGTCTTTCTGAGTTTTAGGTCCACCTGCCTACGTGCTCATTTTGGTGACTGCACTGGAGGGGAGTTATTCAGAATCATACTGTTAGTATGCACATTTAACAGCATTTAATAGTTTGCTTTTTGCCAAATTGTCACTTTATTTTTCTTGGCTTCCTCTCAGCCTCTCATCAAGGACCACCATCTCTGCCACTGCCTGCCTTAAATGCCCCCCATTCCCAAACACTTGCTGGTCCACCTGGAAAGATCTGTTGTTTGGGCCTGGCTCAAAACAACTTTGTCGCAGTCAGTGGGTATTTAACAGTTCATTTACAAAAAATGTTAGCTTACATCCTCCTTTATCTTTTTTGGCTTCCTTCCTTCTTTTGCTACACCAGTTTAAAAAAGACCATTTTAATCACAAAAGTGTGCTTATTGAGGGTGAGTGCAGTGCAAAGTAGAAAGTAGAAACTTCAGCAGGACTGTTCTGTTGAATAACTTTACCGAAGCTCAGGAGCGGAGGGAGTTTCTCATGGCTGAGAAAACCTCTCTGTCCTCTATCTGGGAGCTATCAGAAATGAGCCTCTTCTTGATTATAGATCTGGTCAAAGGGTGTCTTTCAATGAGCCAGGAGACTGTCAAAAAAGATAGAGTCACTCAGAGCAGGTCTACACTGTGGTGTTGGTGTTTCCAACCACCCAGCAACTCC